TATTAAGTGAAAACAGCCTAAACACCTCAATTTTGATAAAACTCCGTTTTCGCTGCGTTTTTGAATTCTATTCGCAAAATAAACATTGTCATCCGATCCAACGTAGTCGATTACGTATGTTCCATCCAATTTCAAGGCTACCTGGAACCACTGGATACCAGTCCTACGGTTTCAGTGAAATCCGATTCCATGCCCGAACCAGTGAAAACCAAGATCTCGCTTGGCTTCCATCTTAAAGAGGACACTTTGAGTTATCCGTCCATGAAGGAAAACGAAAGTATTTGTACTTGAAGATTTTGAGCTATGAGTTGGCTTTCCAAAGATCTCTCTAAAAACCTACTATAAAAAACTACTACCTACTTATTTTCGAATTAATATCTATTATAAAACTGTGTCTCAAAGTCTCTTTTTTTGAATGGTGAAAACCCGAACTCTCTACCACATTGAATTACCGAGATACTCAAAAAATAGTCGGGGGCATTGTATTTCGTAGCGGATAGTAGTAAATTTGCTTTAATGAATCTGATGAATTTATTTTATTTTATTAATAGAAAATCATTTTGCTCTCCGCAATCGTAACTTTACAGAGCCACAGTCATATATTATAAAAAATATTTTACTTTAATAATTTAATAAGCTAAACATTTCTTATAAGACTTTTAAATTTTTTAAAAAAAATTTAAAGTAATATTTTAAAAAATTAACTTTTTTAAAATTCTATATTATAATATAAGTAAGCACACTACTATAGTTATTTGTACCAAATTACAGAAAATTCGTTTTTGTTTTGTGTAAAATTTTTCTATTATTTAAAAGTAGTCGAAGTTTGTATTAGTCCCACTGAGAAGTGTAAACGAGTCATGTTTTAATTTGGATAATTCAAGCTTGAATTTATTTAATCTTGTAGCATCTTTAACCAATTCTTCTAAATCGGGAGATATTAAACTTATTATATTTTGAATTGATGGATGTTTATGTTTCATATCACGTAATTTATCTGTCTTTAATTCTGGATTCAAACAGGTCATACGAAGATATGTCTAAAAAAACGATAAAATATTATATATCGAGCGTAGTTTTAGGTGACACAAAAATACTAACACCCCAGGAATCATGATTTGGTTTCATTATATAATCAGGTACATGTCGTGTAAATGTTGTATAATCAATGTCAATACTAGTTTCAGCTTCGAATCGTTGCTGAAATTCAAAAATGTCGTATAAATATTAGAAAAAAACTCGATGGTACATAAACAAATGCTCATTGTATATAATGAGAGGTTTCAGCTGAAGACCTTTTCATCATATTTTCAGTACCTACATGTAAATTAGAAAGATTATTTAATCTCAACCTTATTTGATGACCATGTTTATGTTTTGATTTATCAGGAGATATACGAGATACTGTATCTTGTTTGAAAAATTCTTCAATTCTTTGATAAATAAGTGCCGTCATCGTTGCGGTTGAACTTGGTGCATATTGATTTGAAAGATTTATACCAAATTTTTTTCGTACTTGCTAAAATCAATAAAAAATTTCAGTTTAGGAGACAGAAAAGTCTTTTTAGAATTTTTTTCGAAGTACTAGTTTGGTACATATACAAATGCTCATTGTAGTGGAAGTTTGTATTAGTCCCACTGAGAAGCGCACAGAGAATTTTCCATCGGTCATTTCTCTGCGGAAAAATGGCTTTGGACAAAAGTTTTTTTGCCGTTTAGTAGCTCACCAAATGAAGTAGATGATGTGATATTCAAATGAGAAAAAAGTGAACTTCGCCTTTTTTCCCAAATGTCCGTCTGAATGCCTGTGCGTACGTGCTGTAGTTGTCATTGTTTTCCCTGATGTTGTTGAAGTAATAGTGGATGTCGATAAAACTACTAAAGTAGAATAATAGATTGGTTACCTGGCAGTTAAAAATATTTTGTATCACTCATAATAAATTTATCGTTTCAATGTGTAATGTGTCAACAAAATTGGGTATATTCAATGCTCTACGTAATAAAATTGTAACTTATAATACATATGAGTGGATGGTATAGACATAGTACCGTTCATTTTCTACATGTAAAAAGTGGATAACGTTTTTTGTTGTGAAGTAATTTTAAAATTTTTTTTATTTTTTTTATCTACACTAGGCCTACACTCTAAAACGTATTTTAAAAAATCAAAAGGGTATTTCCTTCTGTCCACGAAACTGACTTTGGTTTTGTGTAAGAGGCAAAAAACAAAAATTGGTATCCCGACTGCTGCTGAACGGTACTCCTTAGAGCGTATTTCATTTCGATTAGGATACCAAAAAGGGTTTAGTAGGTTAAGAACGATTGGTATCCCAAAGTACCAAAACGATTTTTTTGTCAGTACGAAATATCAAAACCAGCAGATGTCAATGGTCCATACCGAAAAAAAAAAAACACTTTCCACTTCATTTTCTCCTTTCTTACGTTTCTTTTGTAAATACGGCTATTGAAAGTATAATGAGTCAGAAACAAGAAACGAAAGAAAACATTACACGGGATTATTCATATGCACATGCACATACTGCCAGTCTTTATACAATGGTAGCGGCGACCATTGTATAAAGACAAGCAAACAAAAAAAATCGACTTTTAAATTTGTTTGGCATAATTATGGATTGCTGTATACATGACACGAAAACTAGACGTTATTTACCACCAAAATTATCTAGCGCTAAAGAAGATTATGAAAATGAATATTTTCATTATGATCAATCAACTGAGTTGATAAGTATGAAACTATTGGAAACGAATCCCTATACTTTTCATTTGAAACAAGTTTATCCGACTCAAATCGAAGAATATCAACTGACTGAAGACATGTTAAATGTTCTAAGAACTTATACAAACAGCAGCAGTGGCAACGATTGTTATATAAAGACAAATCTGAATTTATTAACAAATAATGATATCGATTGGACATATACAAATAAATTATACTCTATAATAAAAGGCTTGTGTCAAAATGATATAAGACATGTTTATTATCGAGGATTACACTTGAGTGATGCCGAAATTAGATATTATATGGCAAAAATTAATGACTATTATTATACAAATTCATTTTATTCATTTACAATTGATAGATTGTTAACATACTCGGGTAACGCAATTATCATTTTAAAAATAACTCCAGATAATAGATTAAATATTGCAAATATATGGAAATGGAGTCACATGCCGGAGGAAAAAGAGGCCATTTTATCCATTGGTTCAAAATTAAAAGTTTTAAGTGTTCATTATTTCGGTTATAAATGGGAAATTGAAGTTGAATTAGTCGCTGAGGATGCTAACTAAGTAGTGTTAACTTTCTTTTTTATCTTTGTTTCAATAACACTTATGACTAGTAGCGTTAATTCGTATAAAATATCAAAAAATACAAAAGGTTGAATCGTGATTTTTCTCAGGAATCCTTAAATGACGTTGTTTCAACAATTACAAATTTTAAACTATGAAATGTTTGAAAACGTGAGCAATCGACAGATAGAAATTTTGTTATTTGAGACGGGGGTGGGCACAAATGCAGAAGTCAGTTATCTGATAATATATCAGCCGAAAATATTTTAAGAAGTGAAATATTTGTATATTTTACCGTATTTGTAATTAACATTTGAAGCAAGATTCGGTTTCAGGAAGATGTGTTGTTATTCTGACTTTTATCAGAAGTATTTCTTCAATAATATAATCTTTCTCTGTTAACCATAAATCAATCTTGTCATTTGATGTTTTTGACAAGCAAAATGAAACCACTTGATCTCTCTTTTCGAAATAGTTAGAGGAGAATCAAAAACACATTCAAAGTGCAGTATACTTTTTACATACATATTCTGTACTTTGCATATTGCAATTTATTTCTCAAAACATACTGTCAAACTCTTGATATTTTACTGCTGTGATTTATTTGATTATACAGCATATATAATAAACCCTTTCTAGTGACAAGCATCTTATACTAAATCTTTCTTTACTGAATAATTTTAATCAATCTATTTCGCTGTTTAATCCACCTTTTATGCACATGCTGAATCATAATTATCCACTGTGTGTTGCCCATACTGATTGTATGTGTTGATCCCAATTAAATGTATTATTATCTATTAAATTTAAATAATTAACTGTGGATGGGAATCATATTCTAATTCGATTATATATTAATGGTGTATTATTCATAACTTATGAATCATATGTCATTCATCATCATTCATCCTCCGATGAAAATGAATTAATTGGATTTTGTCTGTTATTACCTCTGATGTCAAATCTTTCAATGTTTTATCTATTTCTTTAATAAATACCATAAGTTTCTTCACTATATATTTACGGTCATTACCTTTACATATCGCTGTCAGATCATCACCATAACCCTGAAGAAGGCAATTTTTGGATTCGATATTATAAAATGACCTAATATACCCATGCAGGTGAAAAAAGTCTTTCGAGGGGTGTGGCGAGTTTCTCGAAAATAATCCCTCGTTGAGGGCTCGAACCCTCGGAAAATGACACTTCGACCCTCGACATAAGCTTCCAAGGGGTATCGATTTCGAACCATCGGATTTCAGATAAGTTGCGAGCCCTCGAGAAAAATCTCAAGCCGTCGAATAGAGATGTTCGGGACTTCCGAGCCTTCGCTCTTTCGAGGGTGCAACGAGGAATAGGAAGTCCTCGGAACCCGATGACGGATTGAAAGTACCCCTCGAAAGGTTAGAATCTCTATCGATTCGCCAAAAGACAATTCGCCATGGCGAAAAGTCATGGGACGTTTCGCCAATTGGCGAAGTGTCATGTGCCGTTTCGCCAATTGGCGAAAGCGTACAAATTCTTGGCGAAACGGCACTGACATTTCGCCATGGCGAATTGTCTTTTGGCGAATCGTCTTGCGGCGAAACGGTTTTTTAACATCTTTTGTATACGCAAAATTTTGGGGAATCTCTGACGTTTCGCCAGAACACGATTCGCTGAAAGACAATTTCCTGGAAACCTCCCTCGAAATATATATTTTCAAACAAACTAACAAATAGCTACGAATACAGAGTCTTGAAAATAGAAATGCTAGAAATGCGTACTAATTCCAACACAAATAAACATGAGAACGATGTCACAACAAAAGACATAGGGGAATAAAATAAATATAATTTTTCAAATAACGTTGCGTTTTATCTAATTCAACTTAGTAAAAAAACACCTGTTCTTAAAAATGAAGAAAAAAGAAAAAACATATTTACACTTTCAAAATACATCTTCACATAGTCTCTACCTCCTTCCTTCTTCTTCATCTTCACACATACTTCCAACTACTATCACTATTTTCAACGGCATATGACATTTCGCCAGTTGGCGAAACGGCACACGACATTTCGCCAGTTGGCGAAACGGCACACGACATTTCGCCATGGCGAATTGTCTTTTGGCGAAACGGTTTTTTACCAAAGGTTATATCGAGGGTCCGAAGTGTCATTTTCGGACGGTTGGAGCCCTCGGCGAAGGCCCATCCAAAGCATATTTCCGGTAAAGGTTAACTGAAATAGGTAATAACGAACTACCTTGTAGAACACTGTAATTCATTAACTTAATTTTTGATGTTATACCATCTTCTAATGATACATAAGCATCGCGTGCTTCACAAAATGAGTTAACAAAATTTATGATAAGTTTTGATGTACAAATTTCCTTTAATTTTGTTATTAATAATGATGGATTAATACTACTGAACGCTTTACCTAACATCTAGAAATGCCGTTGTTACAATTTGTTGCTTATCTATATCGGTAGCAATATGATGACTCAAAAATAGTTGTGCATCTTTCGTTCCTAATTCTTTTCTAAAACCGAATTGGTTATTATCAAATACATTTTTTTCGGATTGACATTCAATTATTAATTTTTGACTAATTACTTTTTCTAGAATTCATACAAGGCACGATATTAGACTTATGGATCTAAAGTTTTTACTTGTATAAATAAAATGTTTTCTTTTCTAATGCTAATAACTTTATAATTTTCCAAGATTCTAGATAATAACTATACGGTAATATTTTATTATGTATCTTTAATAGTAATTGTTGAAATAATGATCCTTATTATACAACATAATAAATTGTATACCCATAAAATCTGTTGCTTTTCGTGTTGGCATTTGTATCAACATGTTTTCTAATTCTACAATTGTTAAATGTTTCTCTGTGTTCTTATTATTGTTAATCGGACTAGTGATTGCTGTTACTGCAGTGTTAATTACATTATCATCGGGACAAAATTCATTAATTAATTCATCTGCTATATCAAATTTTTGGATTATTTTTTGCTTATTTTTATCAATTAAGTATGGAATATTTTGTCTTTTTCATTAGTAGCTGGTGTATATTTTTTTATTTTTATTGATTATTTATGTTTAACCAGTACTGTTATTTGGCTTCTCTCATATGTTGTTTAAATAATTGCTGCTGTTGTATATACTTTTATAACTTTTTAGTGAACAATCTTGAATTTTGTGAATACGCTTATATTTGTGTACTAATTTACAATGTATTGTTAATTCTTTTGTCCACACGTATTTACCGGTTTTGCTCGTTATTATGTTCCGTATTGTATCATGTGCTCCATTCATTAAAATGTTTTGTATAGGCTGTGGAAGTTTAAAAATCGATGGTCCTCCGTTGCTGCGACCTAATTTTTGACTGACAGTACATCTGCTCCGTACTGAACTGTTACACTACAGACATCGTACATAACGACCTCACCTTTGTCTAGATTCCGACTTGCTATTACACCACGACATTATCTATATGACAATATTTTTCAGTAGGTCGAGCTGTTGTTGAATACAGAATAAATTAATAGAGATATACTTTTAGTTTTTGGTCTGCGAATATAAATTAAGAAGAAAAACAAAAAATGATAGTATCCAAAGAGTTTTATATTTCTAATCATCTGTAATCCATCACTGGTTTTTTCTTCCCTTATTTGTCTATGTAAAGATCATAAACTAAATAATATTGCGTTTCGTAGAACACTCAATTTTGCTGTGCCTTTTCTTTTTCTGTTTCATATTTTTCAGTGCCCAACAGGTAAATCAGATGCCATTAAACTAATATATGGTGCAGATGCGCCTTGTTACCTGTTATGTAGCTAAAGAATGTAAAACGTAATGTAAAAACGTAAAATGTTTCTCGTCTCAGAAATTATTCACACTAAAATCTAATCCAGTCGAAACATAAATGTTTCTAGAACAAAATGAGATCGGATTCACCTACATTCTTTAGCTACATAACAGGTGACAAGGCGCATCTGCACTATATATTAGTTTAATGGCATCTGACTTATATGATGGGCACTGAAAAATATGCAGAGTAAATCTGTTAAGTTATCTTACACGTTTAATACAAAAGCGGGCATTCAACAAATCTAATGCCACGTGTAAAATACCATAAATGAAGACTACAGAAGATTCCCATTTTTTAAACAACACTTTAACTTATCGATCAAGGTAAACAGACTAGTATATGATATTCCAAATTTACGAAACCGCAACGGGTGTCAAAGATTCTTTCACAAACCTAGTTTCGTAAAACGTTTTCAAATTAAATTTTTTTTATTAAAAGACGTTTTTCAAGCTTAGTAAGGTTTATATAAGATCTCAGGCAAAATATAGCGAATTTAAGAAGATTTTAACAAATATTCCATTAAGCCTGTCGCTACGATATTGTGCATAGTATCCATGCTCAAAACCGTTACCAAGCATATAAGTGCGAATTTGGACCATGGGTGAGAAAACCGAACACATTCTTTCAGCATATTAATTGCATTCTATAATGATGAATTCTTAATGACTGTAGGCCTATAATTAAACACATTTAAGCAACTAAATTTTTACCACAGATCAGCATCTATTAACCCTGCATTAGAATACAACCGTATACCTTAGTGTGCCTTATAGCCAGACTTCAGAGGCAAAAAATCTGATAAAAATTCATTTTTTTGACGTAGTTTTCAAAAAATTATATCTCAGAAACGAAGCATAACGAAATAATACCAATCTTTTACACAGACAACATTCAAGCACTTAGCTCTTAAAAGGATGCATTTCACCGTCGAAATTTTGAAACACTTTCTTGAGCACGAGTAAAACTCTTAAATTTATTATATAAAGTGAATTTCCTATCACAAAGAGGCCGTTTCACAATGAAGTTGTGAATTGTGAAGTTATTTTTCGTACATCAGTTGACTGATGATATCTTTAGAATAAAGACGAAACGTCTCAATTTGAAATGGTCATTTCAACATGTAAAAAGGTGATTTTAATCTTGATTTCTGCCATAAAATTTTTCCCCTTAAACAAGGAATCAATCATTATATTGATTATCAATGATCTGAGATCATTGAGAGACCATTGATAATCACGATTCCAGTTTCGGTTGCAGGGTCGTAATCGGAATCGCACTTTCGGTTCTCACATGTGGAATCCACAACATATATCTTCCACAAAATCGAAGAATAGACTAAAGATGCGTTCTTCTCTTCCTTTTTGTTCTCTTCAAGATGTGCTGGAGCCCCTTATACAGCGCCTATTTTTGACCCTTTTTGGTGCATCTTATAACTCGTGATTAAAACTCTCCATGGAGTTGGCAGAGGTCTGATTTTGATTAGAAATGTTTGCTCTACATTCAGCTTTTGTATTAATTTAAAAAGTGAACTTTGAAAACCTGACTTTTCCTAAGCTTTCAGGAAACTTTCTTAAAAATCCTCAGAGGACTTTGGCGAAAGTCTGCCTTTCGCAGATTCTGATAATAGACGCCTTGGACTATTCAACAATATGCTTAACTCAATATCGACGGCTTTTGCAAAATTTCGTATTCTACAGGAGGGTACCTTAATTAAATGTACAAAAGAACTATAATCGAAGAGTCCTCCTGTAGTCAGCTTTTCGTCGAAAATTGACTTTATCATTTTACTTTTGGCTTTAACCTGTCGAATTGCTTCTTCGTCTTTTAGAATATTTCTCGAGTTTCCATTCGGAAATAGTACGTACATTCCGGATTCGAAGTGATTTTTCATAATTCCAGATTGCCTTGTTCCGTTTATACATCCTCTCACACAGAATACCGATATTCCAATATAAAGCATTATTACAATAATATTCGGGAAGTACTTTTTGTTGAATGTTTAAACACTTTTCATATAATAATTTTGCTACGTCACAATTTTTTCTGATGCACTGCATAAATTTGCGATAAACATGCAAGTCGATGCAGTTTCAGGATCTACTTGGTAATAATTTGCTCTAATCCGTGACTCATTCACAAAATATTCTAAAGACTGATCAAGTTACTGATTTCATTTAATATTTCGCTGAACTTATGTAAAGAGCTAGCTACATCAATACCCTTATATCCAAAATAATT